AATACGAATCTCTGAAAACGAGCTTGTTCGCCACTCTGTTGTTTTGTTTGTTTGGAATCGTTGGACAAACCTCGTCTGTGATCATGAAGGCATTCTGCATATGTCGTGTGTGTTGCTGTGCCCACTCAGGCTTTGACGTTTAGCCCTATAAGTGACAAGATCTCAAGGCCCAGTTGCTATGGTAACTCCGAATTTCCCGCAACAGCAGTTGCGTTTGAAAGAGCACATCAATAGTGATGGGATGGTTACAATATGAAACTATTTTTCGAGCCTTGGTTGATAAAGCAAGTGTTACTTTACAGAGGAATTCGTCGTGTATATAGCAAATGAAGCATGTTCTGAAAAGCTAGGAGGCATTGTACAGCTGTTTAGACCTGGTTGGATCTCGTCAGCACTGCGTTTCCATCGGTTCAATTGATGGTAGAATCCGGGACCTCACGGGCTGAACGCAAACATACTACCCACTCGGCCACCGGGTAGCTTATCCGACTGTTTTTCACTTTCCATTCACACGGTATAGCAGAAGCCATCTTTGTGAGCTTGTTGCGGACAACAGACCCTGCTCATTTTAGCACTAGCCTTCGAAGTTATGACTTGGTCGGAAAAATTCCAACCAAACTACTTGTTTCATGATTGATCGTTAGTTGCTTCGATGGATTCGCACTGATGATGAGACCCAACCCGGTCGAGACGGCTGCTCAGTGCCTCCCAGCTTTTCAGTTCACACTTCATTTGCTCCATACACGACGCATTTCCCAAGAAAATTGAGTCAAATCCCCCATTGCTATCATGGAACAAGTGTTATTTGTTTGCCCATTATTGAAGTAAACCAACACAGATACCCAAGATACGAAACTTTCTTTGCAAAACACCACAAAATACTTGGTCACCAACCTGGTTGGCCAAATAACGTTGAATCGGTAGTTCGGGTGTGTTCGATGCCCGGAATGCGTTCCGCCCGTGATTGACACGATCGAGCAGCTGATCTCCATTTCCATCCAACTCAAGTTGATCCCCCATGGTCCACAACCCAGCCCCACCGGGGCCGGTTGTGGAGACCGAGCGCAAAAGCCCTGCTCCAGCCCCAGCTAGAACACTCAACCCCAACAGACTGGTCAAACCCAGATTATCCGTCTCAGCTGGGCTGTTGGCAGTGTTCCGATTGGACGACCGTAGTCGGAACTTGTCCAATAACGGAGTGCTATCGCGTCGACTCGATGGACTGATGAACTGAGATTCCTGTGGCGACAAAGAAAAAAACGAGAAGTGATTGTATTTCTAGTGGGAAAGAAGCAAACCGACAGAATAACCACTCAGGTGTCCAAACTGCATGGATGCAGATTATTACGTTGCACTCCGAATGAGGTAGGACTCTGTAATCGTTAGTTAGGGGTGACAGATAAGCAGTTAAAATCAGTAAAGTTTATGAACAGTCTTGTGAACCAGCCCACTTAGTGCCACTGCATTGTACAAATATTTGACCATAACAAACCATGTTGCAAAGTAAGCCTTACGATAGTCCTTCATTCGCTCGGTTCAATTCCGCTACGTTTTTGAAAGTCGTCTGTTCATGTTGATTCTTTGCTTTACTTGAGAAGGTCTTGCTGAAAAACAAGGGCACTACTTCCTAGTGGTGTCACATTGTTAAGTGTTTTTATGAGGAAAGTAGTATGTATCTCCTTTTTTATAGAGGTGTATTCGCCAGGTAGATGCAACGTATTATTCATGCTTGAACAACCTTGAAAACATAACCGTACCGCTGGATTATCCCTGTTACCATTCGCTATCAACGCACCTACCGAATCCACTGGGAGTCGAACTAAACTAAATGGGCCTGTTAGTTCGACGCGCTAACCACTTGAGCTATCCGGGATGGTCCTCGTTAGCTTGCTACACCCCAACATTACCTGATATAGCTCTCATCTGCCATTGTGGTTGAAATTCCCCTTATCTAACCAGACACTGCTCCACTCCCTGGCACATGACATCCCATTAAGATCCCCTTAGGCCTGAGCAGCTGTGGTGATCTAGGCCTACGAGATGACGTATACTCTGGAGCGGTGCGGTACAGTTTTTGGACAGCTGCGACCAACCAAATTTCAAAGGTAACATCAATGACCCGCGTACGTGTCATTGCTTCTGACTACACATCATAGGTAGATCGTGCCAGCCAATCCGAGACGGCGCAGTCCAAACAGAAGCAGGATGACGCAAGCAATACTGGAATGCTATTGGTGGAAGCCTGGATAACCAATTATATTCTTCTGTACATATTATTTAATCGCCCTCATTTCTTGCCATAAGCGAACTACCATTCCTGTAACATTTTCCTCGCGTCTCAGGTACGTGGGACATTG